CTTCTTTCTCTGCTCTTCTTGCTTTTCCTCCCTCCCTTCTTTCATATTTTCCCTCTATTTCAAAAATTAAGTAAGTAGTATAACTGTGAAAGACTAGAAAAATGTAGAATTGTGTGGCATGTAAAGAGAATGATTTCAAGCGTATCTTCCCTCCCTAGCCCGCATGCGCATGCCCGACAAGCAGAGTTGCTTTATTCCTTTTAGGAGCTGCATAGTATTCTGTCGGTGAAGGCCATTGGTTTATTTATTGGGTGCCAGGTAAGTTTCTGAAACACACCTTGGAATTGTTATAAAAGTTTAGAATAAGTAGAAGGAAGATATAAATTGGCTTGTTTGCTGCTGAAAATTCCATTTTATAGATAGTGATCCTATTCATTTCCATAGCACCTTATGCTTTGAAAATTGCCTTCGAACTATCATTTCATTTGATCCTCCTTAGAGAAGCTTAGGGAAATAGGCAGATTTTTATCTCCATTTTTTCCGATAAGGAAACTGAGTCCCTGGGTCATTAAAGAACAGAAATATGTATGGTCTCACAGTTTCTGATTTTCAGTATAGTCCTCACATACAATATAAATTTAAGCTGCATTTCATCTTGCAAATCGTAAAAGACTGAGACGTCTCCATACTTGTGAGCTATTAGTTTAGAAAATCCATTCAGGTCATACAAAGTTGCTTATTATTGAATGAGAATGGCTGTAGAGTACTTGGTAAACATGATGAGCTTGATTAATGGCTGGTGCTCATAGCAAGTTCAAAATTCATTTGTTTTCTAATTGGCTTCTGCTATATTACATGCAGAATGAGTCTATTCAGTCCACATCCTACTAAAAATGGAAAGAAATACAGCATGTCACATTATCCTGTAGGAGAAGAAATGGTCACATCAGTAGTAAATCGTTCAAAAGTATATTTTATTTAAAATCAAAAAATGCCTGTCAGCACTCAACTGCCAAGTTTCTGTACTGGGATGCAATAAGATTTGTGGTCTGAACAAAATTTTATTTGGAGAATCGAGGTTTTCAATATATTTCGCAAGTAGGATGCTTCTGTCAAAATTAATTAAGGACAGAAGCTATGTGACGGTCATGAGATGGTGGTCAGTTTCTCTAAGCAGATCTGCTTTAATGATCTGATGAATTCCTTTTGTCAGTAAGGTTTCCTTTCATTATATTCCTTCAATTTTGATGTGATCATTACACAATGTACACATGCATCCAAGTATCATTTTAACCCATAAGCATGTATAATTATATGCCAATTAAAAATGAAAACAAGAACAACTAAAGAGTCTGGGATCATTAAAACTGCTAGTTGGGTGGAAGTTGTGTGCAGTAAGGTTGTATGCATCACACTGTGGGACCATGCATTTTTGAGTGCCTTCCCCACTGGGCTAGCTACCGCACAAGGGCAGATGTCTCTAATTGTCTTCTCAGTGTTGTGCTCCCAGTAGTAACACAGTGTCTGACAATACTAGGTATTTAATAAAATTTCTTGAGCGAATATACAGATAAATCAGTCAGTGAGGTTTCAGCCAGCACGGATAACTCAGGCAAGTGTATCCAGGGTCAACTGACATGGCTTTAAGCGACAGGAAAAGCATGGTCACATAGAACTTGTGTGCTCTGAATGTGAGATGGACGTATTTCTGCCCTTTCAAACACAGGTTTAGACAATGAAAGAACTCATTATACATCAGAGGCTTTGTGGAATGATTCTCATATCAAGTTTTGTCTTTCTCTCAGGTAAGAAATTATGTTATTACCTCTTCCACTGATTTTACTTACATATCTCCCCATTTGAAAATTGCAGTGGAGATTTGCTGGGCTGTCTCCCTCCTTTGGGTTACCTAGGACAAGCTAGACCTTTGGTAAATGCATGTTTTCACTAGGTACTTCGCATGACTAGTTTCAAGCAGGCAGTGGCTTGGACTGCTGCCTTTAGTATTTCTCGTTGCAACTCTGAAATACCATTTGGCGCCAATGTACTCTTCATATAAGATTTGGGTTTTCTTTGGGGCCATTTGCTCTCATGCATAACGATTCACTTAAAGTTCTCATAAGCATCATGATACTGTCTTTTGGCTCCATTATATGTTTATAGCAATGATCACAGAATATGGACAAGGAAACTGAGATGTGCTAAAAGCTAGAGTAATGCACAAATGTCTGAAAGGGCCCATACTCTGTTGTATTAGTGGAGACAGAGTGTTTGTTTTTATTTTTCAGTGAATGGAAGATAAGTTCACTAAAGTTTCTGGTAATTTGGAAATTCAAGTAGAAGGCTGTTTTGAAAAACTGCCATTTCATTCTTGTTAAGTAAATTCAGTTGATAACATTGCTCATTTAGAATACCAGTCTTTAGCTAAAAGGTCATAAGAGTTACTGAGTGACAATTCCTAATGAAACTGACCTGGGATTCGATTTGTAACAGTGTTCCGATTTTAGAGCTGATATTTTGGAAAAATACCAAATCATCATCACCATCAATAGCAAATACCGATTGGCTCCTTGCTGCGTGTTCAGGGTCTGATGGAAAGCTACATTTTTTAGAATAAAGGTTGAAATGAAACTTATGGGGCACAGTGATAACTTTATCCCCTGGCCTTGCCTACCTGCTAAGATTTTGATTTATCTTTCCCTTGCATGTTCCTCAAAAAGTGAGCAAGTTTTTCTCTATTTCTTTATTCCAAACATCCAAACCTGGTCTTGACACATAGATTAGTCTCTCAGTACCCATGTGATGAATTACTAAATTAATGCAACTTAAAGATATAAGACTTTGGACATCTGTATGATGATGAGGTATATGATAGGAGCTTCCATGGGTTTTGTGTGAAGGGTCAGGAAGCATGAAGTAGAAAGGTCTAGGAACAGAGAGATACAGGAGTCTAGTCTAGGTATGGAATAAAAAGTACCGAATAGTGGTACTGCAAAGTTTGGATATGTTTTTGAAGACTGTTACTGACCACTAAAAATTATTATAAATGTACAGATTTTAAATGTGCAGAGGCCACTTTAAAGCAGTCACAAGGTTTTCTAAACTGTCTCAAATTAATGAGTCAAAGCAGTGGCTATTTTATCAAACAATTATATATAGCTGTCCTTACATTAGTGAGAAATGCATCACTTTCTCACTGGAAAAAAGACTGCTTGAAGCAATATTATAACTGAAGTCCAGGTCCCTTTAGGCTCTACATAAGTCATCAGCCTCCCAATTATGAGGGTCATTGTGCGGGAGAAATTAAGGCTGGATCAAGCAGAGGTGACTCAGAAATGTACTAGTTGGGTAAAGCCAGAGTGGAGCAAACTATGTTCACTCAAGAACACCAATGGTCAAGAAGGAGAAACCAAATTTGCCGTAAAGTCCAAAGGTGAGAGCAAAGAGAGCAGTCCACAAGAAGGGATAAGGACTGAGGTCAGTAGTGCAATCTTTTCAGGAGGAAGCTGATGAAAAAGAATAAAGCAAGGATGAGTGGACAGGGCCTAGGACCTCAGCTGTCTGAAGGACTTGTTTCCTGGTGCTCTGAGTCAGCTTGGACTTCCATAACAAAATACCATGGCTTGGTTGGGTTAGACTGCATTTGCTTTTCATGGTTACAAACGTTGGAACATGCAAAATCAAGGTTTCAAGCAGTTTGGTTTTTGGTGAGGGTCTCTTCTCGGTCTTCAGATGGCCACTTTTTACCAGTATCTCCATAAGGGAGGAAGAGAAGGGGGCAGAGAGTGAGAGAGAGAGAGAGAGAGAGAGAGAGAGAGAGAGAGTTTTCCTCTTATTAAAGCACTAATACCACTATCTTTATAACCCGATTTCTTGTCTAAAAGTAATTCTCTCCCAAAGGTTGCACCCTGCAAAACTATCCTATTGGAGGTTAGGGCTTCAACATATCAATTTTAGACATTCAAACATTAGTGTACAACATGTTCCTCCCTCTCACTGGTGCTAGCTATTGGCTCTGTGATGGATGTGTCTGAGTTAAAATCATAGGGCTAAAGTCATTGACCCAAAGCTCCCCCCCATAACATACACACACATACACCCCTACACACACACACAACCCATGTGACAAGTGGATAGGACAGGCTTTTGTTAAGTGAAAAAGTATACGTTTTACAGCATTTCTGATGTGTAGAAGAATCCCTGGAATTTTGTGACACAGGATCATCGGGTTCTGGAGGCAGCCTTGATGGTCAGTGCGTTAGTACCTTTTGATCCTACAGTGGATAGTCAATCTGAGCTAGATTCACCTTTCTGGATCACACGTCACCTATGCAGAGACAACTTGATCAGGGAATCCTTTTGACATAGGAGGGCCATGTCAAAAAGTCCTTATACTGTAGCAGTCACCTTGGTCAGAGTCAGTCAAGATGAAGGTGTTAAGGAGGTGAAGAAGTTCCTCAACTTATAGGTTTTAGTGTAGCCAGGAAAAGCCCCATTTTTAAAGAACTCACTCGGTAAGAAAGGAGAAATAGAGGATGAACTTTGAAAAGAAATTCTAAACTGTATAAACTCTTGAGTGGATCTGTCCAATATGGCAATTTCTTGCAACATGTAGCTTTTCACATTTTAATTAATTAAGATAAACATTTAGCCCTAAGTACTGTAAGCACATTTTAAGTGCTCATCACTGCTACCATATTGGGCAATGCAGATATAAAGCATTTCCATCTAAAACTGCACTATTACTTAGTACAATTTCTTTGCATGTTTTATATGTGCTTTGCCCTATTAGTCTGCTTATTAGTCTCTGTACATGATAATTAACTGTATAAGATTTTATAAAATAAATGAATCTGGTGCTGGAAAACTAAAAGGGACAAGGGGAAGAGGAAATAAAAAGAATTGAAATATGATACGTACATTTACGAATTCCCTATAGTGAATCGTAGTGATTATTTAGTGCAAACATTTGCTAACAGAAGTAAAAACTAATTTCCATCATCACAGCAAAGGATAGTGATGTTCTGAGGGGAAAAGACTTTTTAAAAAATAGTTTTATTGTGCTCATTTTGGCAGCACATACACCGAAATTGGCGTGATACAGAGACAATATGGCCTCTGTGTAAAGATGACATGGAAATGCATGAAGCGTTTTCTATTTTTTAAAAAGAAAATGTTTTCTAGAGGATAAATAGAAATGTCTAGTTTCTCTACTGTTTATCTGTGTACTTCCCTCCTTCCTAGAAGAAATGTCGAATTCCCTACTTATCCTCTGCTCCCCGTGTAGCCTTTGGCAATGACTAATCTGCTCTCTGTATCATGTGCCTCTTTTGGACAGTTCATGTGCATGGAATCATACAACATACAGTGGCTTGGCTTCTTTCACTTACTAAGATTCATCCCTGTGAAGCATGTATGAGTATCAACCATTCATTTCTTTTTATTTGCAAGCAATATTCAATTGCATGGATATGTCTCCTAGTTTCCTGTTCATCAATTGGTAGACATTTGAGTTGTTTCTACCTTTGACTGTTATGCATAATACCGCTATAAACCACTTTTTGCTTTGTAGTACTGGGGATTGAGCCCAGGGCCTTTACATTGAAATACATTCCCAGCCCTTTAAAAAAGTGTATTATTTTGGGAAAGGATCTCGTTAGCCACCAAGTTGCTCAGGTTGGGCTCAAACTTGTGATTCTCCTGCCTCAGCCCTCTGAGAATGTGTGTACAGGTTTTTGTGCGGTCATCTGCTTTCATTTCTTTTGGGAATACACCTAGGAGTGGAATTGCTGAGTCATGGTAACTCTATGACATTTTGAGGAACTTGCAGACAATTTTCCCAAGAGGTTTCATCATTTTATATCCCCACTAGTAATGTATGAGGGCTCTGACTTCTTTGAGTCCATGTTGACACTTGTTGCCTTCTTGATGATAGATGTCCTAGCATGAAGTGACACTTCAGTATGGTTTTCACATTTCCCCATGACTAGTAGCACTGAGCATCTTTTCATGTTCCAGGAGAGACACTTTGTCTGACAGTGCTCAGAGACCTTGGAAAATCATGCCACTGACTCTGGAACATGACTTTTTTGATATTTCAGATACATGTTTCCTTGAGCTGGCACAATAACAGTTTTTTTTTTGTTTTTTGTTTTTTGTTTTTTTTTAGCCAGCATAGGACAGGTTAGAAAGGTTCATATGACACAAAGATTTTTTGAGACACTGAGCCAGAAGGTTCCAGAAATTTCATTTGTCAACACTGAAAATATTGATGATGAATCACATAGGCTGAAGAGTAGGTCTTAAATACAGTTTTATCCCTATCATTTGACTTTCCGATAGGAATGGAGTTTTAATATCCTTTGTTTGGAATTTTATTATCTATACATTTTTGAGTTAGTCTAGCAGACCAGGTGTTATGGGAGTTGCTGGCCTCATAGCTCAGGGACCTTGATAGAGAGACAGAGAGCCTGGTAATTTCATGAGTAAGTCTACATATCCAGTTACTGAAGTCTGGAAGCCTCCCTGATCCTCCTCTTTCTCTCACCTTCTACATCTAATCCACTGAGTCTGGTTCATGCCATCTCTAAAACATAGTCCATGTCTGACTCTCTCTCTTTGCCCCATCTCCCCTGTCCAGGACAGTGTGAGTCGCCATTATCTTCTCTCAGGTCACTTCTATAGTATCCAGACTGCAATCCCTGTTTCTACCACGGTCTGTTTTCAACCCAGCACCCAGAGTGATCCTCTAATATATCAAGTCAGATCATATAACTGTTTCCCTTAAAACCTGCCAAGAAGCTCTCCTCACAATTAGGGTACAATTGACTCTTTAATAACATTATCTGGTCTGCCACTCTCCCTGGGACTCATTTCCTGCCATGTGTCCCTTTCTCCCTCTACTTCTGACACAGTAGCTTCCTACTATTCCCTGAAAAGGGCAAATGCAGTCCGCCAAGAAGTTTGTGCAAATCCTATTAGCCATCTCTGGGTCACTCTTCTTCCACATCTTTGTAACCCTGGCTCCTTTTTCATCCCCTGGGCTAAGCTAACAGAGCTGTTTCTCAGAGAGGCTTTTCTTATCTATTCTAATGTGGACTTTCCATTCCCCTCATCCCTGTTTGTCTTCCCCATTATTTAGCTCATCGACCTATTAATTTCCTTATGGTTTGAAATTATTTTCTTTACTTGCTTATTGACTCTCTCTCTCTCTCTCTCTCTCTCTCTCTCTCTCTCTCTCTCTCTCTCTCTCATGTAAGTGGACAAGACTGGGCACCTTGTATGTCATGTTTACTCAAGTATTGCACTCTAACACTGACACATAATTGGTACTCAGTCCCATCATTGTGGAGCAAGTTCATTTTCAATGAGGCTTGTCATTTTAGAGGACATCTATTTTGTAGACTGAGACATGAACCTTGAATCCTAGATTCTAAGGAACAATCACATTACCTGTGCTAGGGTAATTCCCCTGACTCTTGTCCCAAGAAGAACACTTGGCAGGTCATACATGTAGTCAGTAGCTTGGATCCTGGAGGAGATGTGTTAGGTAGCTCCATGACTGGTGACAGAAATGAGAATCACAGGTTCGATGTGCCTCCTTACAACACCAGGAGGTTGGTGGGAATGTGGGTATTGAATGGCAAGTGGCAATTCTGGTTCTCTGTGGTTGTCTGCACCATGGCCATGGGGTATGGATAATGAAGTTTTCCATCTCAGGCACCTTTCTAGTATTTCTGCTCACAGAGCCATGGCTTACTACATGGTTTACTACACAGTGATCTGGTCCATAATGTTTTTCAATTATTTTGAACTTTGATTTGCAAGAATCTGTGATACAAAGAGCCAGGTAGTCTACTTCATACAGTATGGAAATACGTGATGAGTACCCTTGGCAGAAGTTTGCTCCCCACAAGAGTGGCTGGATTCTCCAAAGTCTAGATTCAGCCAATGCTTCTGGTGGGCCTTTTCTAAAATCTGCTGCTTTGTCTTCTTTCCCTCCCTGATAGAAGGGATCGCCACATGGTTGGTTAGGTCTTGAGGCCTTCCTGGTAATATAAATTGAATCATGTCCTTAAATTTACTGTTTGAAATCCTAACTCTCAGTACCTCAGCATGTGGTCATATTTGGAAATGGAGACACTGGGGATATAATTAATTAAGATGACATCATACCACAGTCCAGCAGGCCACTAATCTAATACAAATGGTGTCTTTATAAAAGAATAAATTTGGACTCAAACATGCACATAGGGAGAAGACCATGGTAAAGCTAATTGCAAATACTTGGTAATGTAACTGCAGGCTAAAGAACACCAAATATTGCCAGTAAACCATCAGAAGCTAGGAGAGAGACATGGAACAGATTTTTCCCTAATAGTCCTTTGAAATAACCAACTTTACTAGCCTTTAGAACCATAAAAAATAATGTTTCTTAAGTTATTCAGTTTGTGGTACATTGTTAAGGTAGCCCTTGAAATCTAATAACACAGAAATGATACTTCTTTCATGCTCACTGGCTCAGAAACCTTGAGTTGACAATAAAGAAGCAGGTTTCCTCATAGGGGAGAAAATAGTGAGCTGATTGCACCCCCAGTGCCTGACTATGGGGGAACACGATTTGCCTACTATCCCCAAGATCGTGTAAGGTGGTGCACGTGGAATTTAATCCCCAACCTTTGAAACACTGTAACATGCAAAGAAAGGACCAAAAAAATTGTGACAGAATAAGTCTGATGGTCATTTAATGCTTGCTTCAGTTGGAAAATAATCATTTGGAACTCTGTTAGAGTTCTAAACATTTTCTTCACTGATTTTTGAAATAAGTGCATTTATTACTTTGGAGATCTGGTAGGGAGAGTGATTTCTGCTGATTTTCTTTTGCCAAAAGCTTCTTAAAAAGAGGGCAGAGCACAAGTTCCACCTGCTCATTTTGTGGCAGGTGCTTCATTCACATCCCTCTCTCTACACAAGAGGGTGCCCTCCATTTGCCCACTCATCAGCTTTCAACTTGGTACCCAAACAGGGCTCAACCATTTATACATTAAACAGCTATGAGTGATTTATCGTGTGCCACCAAAGCTGGATGCCCCAACTCATTCCAGGTACACAAATTAATTCAAAATGAATGAAAGACCTAAATGCAACATGTAAATCTGTACAACTCTCAGAGGAAAGTCCAGGAACAACTCTCCATTGTTATGGGTTTAGCCATTGGTTCCTAGAAATGACACCAAAAATATGAACAACCAAAGACAGAATAAATAAATTGGATTTTATCAAAGTTTAAAACATATTAGCAAGAAAATCTACAGAATGTGAGAAAATATCTGCGGGTCATATATATTATAAGGTTCCAATGTGGCCATAAATAATGATTACACCTCAAAGACAAGAAGACAACTCAATTAAAAAAAGGGGAAAGGCCTCGAATAAACATTTCTCTGAAGAAGATACGCAAAAGGCCAACAAGAACATGAAAGCATGCTCAACGTCATTAATCACCACAGAAATGCTGGTCTAAACCATAGTGAAATACCACTTCATGCTCTCTATGATGGCGGCAGCAGCATCAGCAGCAGCAGCAGAAAATATCAAGTGTGAGGATCTGGAGAAACTAGAATCCTTATGCAATGCCAGTAGGAATATAAAATAGTGCAATGATTTTGAACACAGTTCAAATTGCTGTTACTCAGCAATTTAAACATAGAAGTTCTGTATAACCCAGTAATTCCACTCTTCAGCATACATCCGAAAGAAATTAACACATGTGTTGAAACAAAATGAATGGCATAGAATGAATGAAAACCTTTTACTGAAACAAAATGTATAACAAAAAGCACACCAGCACTGTTCATAAAAGTAAAAGCAGAAACAATCCAAATACACATTAATAGATGAATCAATGAACCATATGAGGTATCTATGCTGTGGAACGTTATGCAATCACACAAAGAATGGGATAGTGATAAACACTACATCTTGATGAACATTATGCTACACAGAAGAATGCAGACACAAAAGGCCACATACTGTATGATTCCATCTATATGAAATGTCCGGATTAGGCACACCCATGAATATGGAACACAGATTAGTCATTGTCAGAGGATGGGAAAGGGGTAAGCATGGAATAGCTGCTTAGTTGGTACAAGATTTCATTGTGGACTTGCTAAACGTCACTGACTTGTTCACTTTTAGATTGTTAAAAGAATGAATTTAAAGTTATGTAATTTTTTCCCAGTAAAAATTAAATGATGCTCAGTGCTCCTGGGGCTGTAACGTAGGTATTTTAATGAGGCTTATGATGAGCCTTTCCCTAACCTGGTGCACACTTATGCTATAATGTTAAGTGAAAAAAGAAAAGGAACATATTTTCCACACATTATGATCTCAGCCACAGAGAAGCAACTGAAACCTATGCACGGGAAAAACAAACAAACAAATTAAAAAGCCAAACAGGCAAACAACAAAGCAGAGGAAGTATACCAAGGGGTTCATCATGGTCTCTGGTGGCCAAATTCTTTCTCTGACCATGTTCTCTTCTTTTTACTTCCTAAGACGTTGTACTTTTCTTTAAAAAGGAAACACGTACATTGTCACTTTTATAAGAGAACAACACACCTCTTTTTTTTTTTATAAAGTAGGGAAGCTATGAAATGGTATTTGAAATAAAAAGAAACAGTGGATTGAAGTAATGAGACAGAGAAGCCAAAATCCAGAGAGAACACACTTTGGGGGAGCAATCATGCAATTTGATCTTGGAAATTGCCAGTGAACAGATGGTAGTGTCCAAGCGGACATCTGCAATGGATAGCGAAATCATATGCAGAGACACAAGTGGCCTTTGAAGCAGGCCCTAGAGAGGCCTCGAGGAGAAGGCTGCTTGTCTGGCCAAACAGAACGGACAAGCCCTTCTCTGCCTCATGGCAGCTTGGCCTCTTCAGAGCTCCGCCAGAGGACCGGAGGCTGTAGCAGGACTCAGCGCAGATGCACTTGCATGTGTGAGGCTGTGGATGTGGTTGTGCGAGCAGAAAAGTTTCTGTTAATAATACTGCAAACATCACAGCTGCTATTTACACGGCACTTCATAGTTTATAAACATTTGCACGCAGATAACCTAAGTGTTAGCTGCTTTTGCGTCCTCTTTTATAATGGCCCCCTGAGGTAGGAAATTCTTAATCCCACTTTATCATGGAAGTACAAGGCACACAGAAGTGACACAAATATATTTATTTAACATTTATATAGTGCTCACTATCTGCCAGACACTGTCCTAAGAGCTTTATGTGCATTAATTTATTGCCCATGTCCACAGCTACTGAGAGACACAATTGGGACACGAATCTGGCTTTTCAGACACTATGACACCACTCTTCTGCTCATGTCTAAGTGGAATTTACCTCTGTCTGCAGAATCTCAAGTAAGGTCACAAGGTTCTATCTATCTATCAATCTATCAGTCAATCATCTATCTATTTATCTATTCATTTACCTTCTCACCCAGCCACCAGTCTATATTTTTCTGATTATTAATATAATACATGATTGTTAAAAAGCATAGATTTTATTGAAATGAGCAACATAGTCAAAATCTCCTTAAATTTCACATTAAAAATAACAGTTGTTGATGGTTGATACACATTCTTCTGGATGTTTTTCTCAGTGTAGGCTAAGACATGATTTAATTTTATTTTAATAAGATAATATGTACCTACACTTAAGTAAGTACCACTTCACATAATACTAACCCTTGAAAATATCTTCATGATGTCATATATTTTACTATAGGTCAACCTCATATATTTTAATACTCCATCATATAGAGGTAGCAATTTTCCTAAGTAGCTATCTAATGATAGATACACAAGCTTTTCAAATTTTTATTGGAAACAATGATGCAATAAATATTACTGTATTTGTAACTTTGTGTATATGTGTATTTATCTGGAATAAATTGATGGAATTGAATTGCTGGATCAAAAGTATACATATAATTAAAATTATCATAGACATTGGCAAATTGCCCTTCAAATATACTATATAATTGGCACTTCAACTAAGAGCAAATAAGAGTGACTCATTTCCATATGGACTTGCCAGTGCTAGGTACTCTCAGTCTTCCTATATTTTATCCATCTCATAGGCAAAAATGGTATCTCACTATTGTATTAATTTGTTCTTAAAATAGTGAAGTGCTATCTTTTATATTATTGGATTTCATATTTCTACTTCTGTAAGTTGCTCATTCCTATCACTTGTCAACTGGCTTTTCTGTTGCAGAGAGGAGAGACCCTTGGTCTATATGGGGCTATAATACATTCTTTCTGAAGGACCAGTAAACTCTTTAAGATTTATGCTCATAATAAAGTCAGTTCTTAAATATTGTGTTTGTCATCATTTTGGAGAGCTCAGCAGAAAAACTGTTAACCAATAATAATCAAGACTTCAGTTTCATAGTAATTATCATCTTGTGAGATTAACTCTTGATTTATTAGCCACATAAAGCATAAGGTAATATAATCATCCCAGTCAGAGATAGAAATAAGCATTTGTTCACCCGCCACAGACAGTTTAGAAAAACTCTGGCAAATGGATGGTGTGATTCCTGCACATGGATGTGTGCAGGTTGAACATGTGTGTGTGTCAGGCATGTACATGTTCTCATTTCTTTTTAGAGAATATCTAGTAGAAGAATGGAGGGAGAAAATACTGTATGGGCAGAGGATATCTGTAGGCTTTCATCTAGGGGCATCTCGTGGATGCAAGGAAACAGGAACTTCTGGTACAGGAACCTCTGTAGTGTGCTGCTATGGATGACATACTGTTTTGGAGTGGTGATCTGCATATTACCACATATTCAGAGAAAAATTTCAAATTCGTTCTGCCAAAAATCTCTTGGTTCAACTTGGACTGTCCTGGGACTGGAACTAGTTTAATGTCAGTTCTCAGATACTAGACTAGTGGCCTGAGGCTGTGAGATTTGTAGTGATGATAGTATCACCATTCAGTATCTTCCTATGAGACAGGGAATAATCCCAAGTTAAGTTTTCATAGGTACTGTCAAATTGTTCGCCAAAAGACTATACCAATGAACATGCCCTTCAGTAGTGTCTGAGAGGGCTTTCTGTACTTCATCTCACTTAATCTTCAACTAATAGTAGGGGCTGTCTGGCATGGACTCGAATGTGAATGCCTCTTGCTGGGTAGTCATAACGCTATGACTCTAGGTTCCCATTTCACTGAAATAAACACTGAAGCACTGGGGAGTTCAGTTACCAGTTTATGAGTGTCATAACTGAGATTCCACCTCAGGCTATCTGACTCCAGAGCTACTGGTCACTGGTACTATAGCTGTCTAGAGTCCTTTAATGCCACTGAGGCCCCCTTAAGAGAGAGAATGAAAGCATCTGTGTGCACTCAAGAGCAGTGGCATTTTTTCGATTTGTGAGTCCAAGCAGAAGCCCTGAAGCTGCTGGATTATCCAGCCGGTCATCTTTCAGGCATTTGTCAGTGCTGTTCAGTGAGAAGCAGTCTCCAGAGACAGAATAAATCACGTAATTTGGCCCAGAAAAAGACATTGGAGAAACAAATTAAGTGATGCATCATGAATGTAATAAGACAGTTAGGTGGGTGGGAATAATTCTCTTTTGACTACATGCATGAGAATTATATGTAGAAAATTTTAAGTCCAAGCTGCCTTTCCTTTGCCTTTCCCCCTACTAACCAGAGACTTGTAATGACTTCTCTGAACTATCCAGCTGGTGTGTACTCCAAGAACTCTAATATAACTTTTCAAATTAGCCCAGGAAAAAAGAATTACAAAGACAATCCTTTGCTAAAAAACCCCCACATGACAACGTCAAAAAGAGATGATTTCTGGGTTCCTACTATTTGCTTATTTGCATAAGATTGACTCATAATTATATTGTACAATTTGACTACACTGCCAAAGATGATAAAAAAAAAAAAACTTCTAACTGAAATTTCATTTGTTTTCTCTTTTTCCCATCTCCAAATTTGGACAGATACACTTTCACTAAAAGGGAAAAGGCTGGATTTTTCTGGAAGAGGTGACACGCACGTAAGCCTGACCAACACCATTCCTGAACTCAGCAGATTCACAGCATGCGTTGATCTGCTATTCATGGGTGACAGTTCAAGTTATTGGATAGCCTTTTCCTATATTACTAATAACCCCTTTCGGGGCAGAGAAGACATAGACCTTGGACTCGCAGGGAAACATCAACAGCTACTACTTTACTATTTAGGCAAGACTTTTTATATCAGTTACCATCTAATTCCATTTCGATGGCATACAATATGCTTGAGATGGGATGGTGTGAAAGGCATACTAGAGCTCTTCCTGAATAAAAAAAGGATATTGATAGTAATGGATCAGCCACACAACCTGACACCTAATGGGACTCTGGTCCTAGGACACTTTCCGAAGAATGGAGTTGGCCAGATTAAAAGTTTGGTACCTCGCTTTACCATCAGCTTGTACCACTTTCAACTCTGGGACCACATCCTGGAAAATGAAGAATTTATGAAGTGTTTAAGTGGAAATGTAGTTAGTTGGGAAGAAGATGTTTGGCTTGTCAATAAGATCATCCCAACTATTGACAAGAGACTGCGCTGCTGTGAGTAATTTATGAATTTTCTCCTTAGCAAGGGTGACCTTGCCACGTTACTCCTCAGCTTGTAGTTTGAGTAATCCGTTCTTAAATCAGAGCCATCTTCCTCCAAGGAGACCAAGCTTGCTACAATTTTGTCATCTACCTTTTAGTGTACACTAAATACTATTTTCTCTTACATCTTTGATTTCATTTCAAGCTTAAAGAAAATTTGCAAGAATAACAGAACTTAATTCTCTTTACTCATTCATCAAAGGTTAACACTTTCCCATTTAGTTCATCATTCTTTTTACCTGAATTTCTCTCTTCTCTCTCCCTCCTCTGCCTACACACACACACACACACACACACACACACACACACACACGCACACGTGTGCACACCCAAGCTTGCAAAATTTTTGTTTCTGAATCATTTGAGTATAAATCGCAGGCAGGGTCTGATTCTGTTTTATTACTAAATATCTCAGGGCATATTCCCTGAGAATAATGAATTCTCTTAACCATGATACAATGATCAAAATCAATTTAGCATACATTCAATATTAATAACTAACAGTTCATATTTACATTTAGCCAATTGCTCTAATAATTTCTTTTATAGTTATTTTCTTTTTGCTTGGTCTAGAACTAATCTTTAAAAAGACCCTCCCTCAGAGTTGTCCTTTGGAACTTAGGCATTTCTAGCATGCAGTCCAGTTATTTGATAGTATGTTTCTTAATTTGGGGTGGTTTAGTGTTTCCTCCAGGTTAGGGTGAGAGTATCCTGTGTTTTGGGCAAGACCATCGCAGAAGTGATGCAGTATTCTCAGCCTGTCTCATCGGTATACGTGGGCTGCCGATTTGTCCCAGTATTCATGATAGTAATTTTCATCATTTGATTTTGATGTCTGTCAGATTTCTCTGCTCCAAAGTTATTATTTTTCTTTTGTAATATTAAATAATTTCTGAGGAGCTACTTGGAGGCCATATAAATATCTTTTTCTTATCAAACTTTTATCCGATAATTTTATACTTACGGGTTTTTGTCCGAGTCACTATTGTTATAATGATAGAAAAATGATGATTTGCTAGAAAGTTGTTTTATACATTCTTCATTAGTTGAAATTCTATTGTTTTCTCTTCTTCCATTTTTACTTATTTATTCATCCATTCATTCATTCATGTGCTTTTGAATATAAGTAAGATATTATACATTTTATTCATTGTGTTACAGTCTGTTACTGTGTTTATTTTGATTCTCAAATTGGCCCAAATTTGGCCAGTGGGAACCCTTCAATCTGGCTCTTGTACTCTTTAGACAGGTTCCATCATTCTTTGATCTCTTTATTGCACAAGATATTCCAGGCTTACCAGGTACTTTTTCTGTTCAGCCATTTTGCCAGTGAGACTTGGTCCCTTTGCATGGGGAATTAGCAGTTACCAATGAGTCACTTTTCTTGTAAATGCCATCATGATACTGAAGAACTGTTAGTAATAGAATTCTTGCAAAAAAAGTCCCTGTCTTTATGGAAATATATAAGTATTTTTCTCCTTTCTAGTTTTTACAAGGAAATAAGGATTTTTTCCTGTACACCCCTCCTTTCCCTCATTTCCAGTCTTCTTCATCATCAACAGCAGCAGAAATACTGCAGCTTGAGTATTCAGTAATAATAATATCAAGATAAGATTTCTCTCATTTTCGGGAGTGTTCACTTATAACAGCATTATTTACTGTCCTTATGGCTTTTGGGGAAGCCTAAGAGGGCTTCCACAGAATGTAGGGATAGGTATTCACCAAAAACCTTGACATTTTGAGTTAATGGCAGAGACACATTGCAGGGAATTTCTGTTTGTCTGAGATCAGACTAAAGGAAAGGAATAGGAAAACTACTGCTTTATGCTTCTACCTGCTACACTTGGGGTCTCTCTTTTTGAGGCCTTGAAGATAAATGAGGTAATCCCAGCTGGTTCTAGCTAGGGATTAGTGGCTTACACCTGAACAGCTTACACAAAGCAGTTTAAAATAATTTCATCTTTCATTTAAGGAACTGGACGTATGGCCCTGGAAAATCATGTCCTTTTGGCAGTGGTCTTTAAAAACCTAATATATTTAGCTAATGCCTGTAGCCTTTTCTGTCACTTGGCTGGAAAATAACTCAATATAATTGATGTATTAAATTACTATACAACCTTCATTTATTTTGCTCTTTCGTACATTTAAAAATATACACTCCATCCTCTTAGTCTGATTCAGTGCTTGTGGACGTAATACACAAATAATCCAACAGAACAAACAGAAGAAAATGCTATTTAAAATGATGATCAAGCCAAAAGGGTAAAAAACATTTTCTTTACTATTCAGGTTTCTTCAAGTATTCTTCCCACATCTTTGAACAAGCGTTCCTAACCTGAGGGCCAGAATAACCTTGAAAGAGTTCACAAAGCCCTTAAAAATTGTATCCAACACTAAAACTACAGGGTGGATTTTTTTCCCCATGAGGACAGAGTCTATCTAGTTTTCTTGATGTTATAACAAATAACTTTTACTAAGTTCTTACCATGTGCCAAGCCTTTTATAAATGAGGAAAGAGAATCTCAGAGAGATTAAGCAAACTGCCTATGATCTCCAGTCACATAAGTAATAGATCTGGGGTTTGAACAAAGATGTGTCTGCTTGCAAAGCCCATCTTGTTGCCCCTACACCATGCAGGATCATCTGCAGGGAACCAATGGCCTTAAACGGTATTGAATCATTGTCTTAGAAGCTTCTTTTGAAGGGAATTTCTGACACTGATGGTCCACATTGGAAAATTAGGCTAGTGGCAAGACTGGCCGCTAGCCTCATCACTGAAATATCTACAACACCATAGGACTTCTCCTACTTCTTAGTCGTGCGACATCCAAGAAAAGGGTGGCAATATGGAAATAAATATGAGCGATTATAACATGTCTATCTTTAACTTTTGCCTAATTGGTATTTATAATCTATAGAAGGATTATGACCTTCAAAATAAATTTCAGTGAGCACAATACTAGGTACAGATCTCTATAAATTTATCTATACTTAACAAGGCTTTTGGGGAGCATTTTTTGAAAAGCGTGAACAATTCTTGGGTTTTCCAAGTACTCATTGTAGGTGAGATGTTTTGAGAATATTTAAACAGCTCAGTAATAATAACAGTAAAGTTGTTAGTTGTTAGGAATTTATTTTGGGGGTCTTTCAAAGTCGTTTTCCCCTTATTTTAAAAAATTGCAAGCTATATATGGTTGTGAATAAAATCTATTTAAACAATATAAATGTATCCAAAGTATATAGTAACCCCTCCTCCATCTGATCCACAGAGCTCTCCACTTTGAAAGAATTTCTTACAGGTTTATGAGGGTGTATGTGCAATTATCTAATTAATCAACAATAATATATATATGTACATACACATATATATTGTTCTACAACCTGATTTATTTTAATAATATTATTATGAGCACATAAGTACACTTAAACCTATTTTTAGGGTTCCTCATATTGCATTTTATAGGTATAACCTAATTTATTTGACTAACCTACCACTGATGGATATTTAAATTGCTTCGCTTTTTGCAGTTGAAAATAATGCTACATTAAATTTCTTCATAGATACTTACATCTTGGGATACATGGACTTGGGATTTCATAGGACATGTTGCTAAAAGTATAATTTCTCAGCGAAAGCATATAAGCTTTTATAATTTAATTGATTTATCATTTTATAGTTATCTTATTAATTAATTATTCTTTAAAGTAAAATAATAGACACATTATAAAACATTTTAAAAATATAAATTAAAAATTAAACTTTCCTTTCATTTCAATCCCGTAAGTCAAGTGCCTCTTGCCCAAAATATTTATGAAGAATTTCTTAGGCATATTTGCAGAAAAATGTAAACTGTGGATTTACATGTAAATGCTCCTTTTCCAGTTGGGATCATCATATGCATTGGCTTCTGCATCTCCTTTTAAATCTAAGAATACATTATGGAGATATTTTCATATCACAAAATATATAGCTATCTGATTATTTCCGGGGATAGGTTGCTGAATAGAATTATAGAATAAAGATATGCTATAGTTTTTTCAAAACTTTACTTGAAAGAGTTTAAACTTTTTTCCAGTTTTTAGCTGTGATAAAATTACAGGAAAAATTCTGTGTTTGGCGGTGACAGAAACATCTTAGAGCTATGAAGTTCTTTGGGTATGGCAAACACAGTTTTCTAATCTGAACCCAGACACATGACCCAGAAAAAGAATTTGTTATGACTGCAAATATATGAAGACGAAAAGTTTTCCAAAGACATAAAGTCTAAATTACTCTTTCTTATACACTGGAGAAATCCTTTCTATTGAAAAAAATGAAATAACATGAATAGTACCCATCCTGGGAAATTTATACTGTATTAAAAACATGGCAATCCTTTATTTGTGCTCTCATTACTCTGCTGAGATTTATTAATTAATTAACACCCTCGCTGCTTTGCATCATTTATGACATGATTATACGTAAGAAATGCAGAGATGAATTGTATACTTTATGTACTTTCTAAAGACCTATTTTGGCCTACTATTAATCCATCTATCCAATTACCAGCTCTCCTATGAAAAGCTCCGTGGTGATGGGCTCCATGGCTGAAAGGTAATTTGGTCTTGCCCCTGTGCACCAATTCTCTGTGCTACCCTCATTTTTCATCATGAAAACATAAGCATGAACCAGTGTAGTTTGCTCAAAACTTTATTTGTATTCTCCTGCACATGGTGACATTCTCCTATAAATCTGGAGATAAAAGCTCTAGCCCGTCTATTTCTTTCTGTTGTGGGATCCATTTTTCATGCCTTTGCCTAAAAACTGAATGCAGAAACCAATTTTTCTTTATTGGCTTAAAGACAGTCACTTCATATTTTTAGTACTCACAGACCAATCTGCTTATGGCAATTTCTGGTCACCATTATCTTTCACACATACGATCAACATATTGAACTATTTTTACAAAGGT